TCGAAAAGGCAGAAGCGATCTGTACATGCCTATTTAATTAGCACTATGTCTGGGTCTTCTCTGCAAATCTTAAGGCAATCTTCTATGTCTCTTCCATTCCAGACCCTATGGATTTGCCTGAAGGCCACTCAATAATCTAAGGTATTTCCTTCAAGACATGAAGTGAAAAGATATTCATAAAGTAGGTTTTTTTTTTTTAACCATAAGCAGGTTTTCTAAAGTAGTGATACCAAAATATTTTGAAAAAGTGCCTACTTGGCATATTTATAAAATGGTCTGCAGCTGGGAAATTATTCTTAGCACAAATAGTGATTACACTGCCAAAACTGAAAGTATACCTTAATTTGAAAACTTCTACTGTGATGCCTATTTCATTTAAGTTTCTAGGTGGAAAAAAAATCAACTTATCAATTTCATCATATATTGAAACAATGTTGTTGCTCTCTTTATTAGATAAATAATACTAATATATCTGAACTTTATCTTAAGAGTGAGAAATCTAAGCACTTGTACAGATCATCTGCCAAAAATGTATAGAAAAGCTTGTGAGAAACAGGGCAATACTGAAGAGAAGTTGACTTCTTAGGAGACTTGCTCAATACATAAGGTAAGTAGTAGCAAGAATGTTATTAAGCCACCAAACTGTAGAAGTCACAGAAGTATTATCAACAGGTTCTGGAGATTTAATGGTAGTGGTTGAGTAGGAAGTGGAGGTTGATAAAAAGTAAAAGTCTAGTAATGAAGGCCAGGTTTTGACTTAGGTAATGAGGATAAATAATGATTCTTTTAACTAAGAAAAATATATGCAACAAAACAAGTTAGTGTAGGAAGACAGGGATTATGTACATTTTTAACTTGTTGGGTTTACTATATCTATAGGATATTAAGAAGGGGAAATATAAGGAACTGATAATACAGTTCCAAAATATAAGCTTACTCTTGTGGCCCCAATGGCCAACAATTTTTGAAAAAGGTAAGAGGGACTTAATGAGCAAAAAAAAAGGTAAGAGGGAAAGAAGCGGGGAAGAGTGAATAAAAAAAAAAGGCAAAAGGGAAGAAGGGAGGAACAAAATGCAGGGAAACAATGAAAGAATCGTCTTGGATAGGCCCCAAGTTTGTAAAAGCTGAAATCTATTAATTTTCAGGAAACGTTACGATTTGCCCTCCCTGCTGCAGTTCAGCCCACTACCAACAACAGCTTGATGTATATTTGGAAATCCATCATTCCCTCACTCTTACAATAACTGGGACTACTTCTCACTCCAGGAATGACACAGGATCTTGGCCTGGCCAATCAAATGAAATATCTTTATGAAAGAATGAATGGCTCATGGATGATGGAAGTCAGGCCAATGAGAGACAATGGAATATAACTAGATATTCCTCTCAGCAATTTAAGAAAGCTAGAGCATTACAGACTAGATTTAAGCCAAGAATGTAACTGGGAACCATCTTCTAACTATATAGGTTCTGACTGAGAACAAGAGAAAGGAGAGGTTAGAGAAACAAAAAAACCCCAAAAGAAGACTTTATGTTATTTAATCTTATAGTTTAGTTTACTGATGCCAAACTGCTTTAGATATCAATAACTGACACACAATTGAACACAACTGTTCTTTAGAACTAAAAAAAATTCTATCCAATACAAAAGAATTTTGTATTGGATCCAATACAAAGAATTTTCTAAAAATATCAAAGTCTAATTTTTCAAATAAAACCAATGACTTATCTGTAAGCCTTTCTTTCAAAATAAATATTCCATTTAAAAAAGAAGGGAAAAAGACAATTATTCATTTATTATTTATTCAAATGACTTCAAGAATTTAAGGTCAATGGTAAAATAAAATGCCTAACAAGAAAAAGAAATACAAGAAAAACAATACAAGCAAGTATAAGAAAATATAAGAAATATAAGAAAAGAATATAAGTAAAGTATCAAAAATTGGAAGAGAATGACTAAAGAGAAATTGAGACGATAACATAGGAGCCAGCAGCAATTCATAACCTCTGGAATTAAGAAATCCAGAAAACAACAACAACAAAAAGAACACAGCTCCAGGAATCAATAAAGAGCTAATAGGAAAGCCAGAAGTCACTGTGAAACAGATAACTATGCCAAGAAAAGAATGAAGGAGTCCAGAACCCTAACCCAACTTCCAAGGAGGAGGACCTGACTCCATAAACACAAGGTAAGCCCAGAGTGGTCCAGCAACCCCAGTACTAAACAAAGGACTGGCAGCTCAAGGCCCAGGAAAAACCTACATATACAGTATAGGGGGTTTATACTGAAAGTGACTGTCTCTAATGGCTGGATAGTACTGGAGAAGAAATCTACTGCAGCACCTGCTATCATCAGGAGTCACATATATAGACACCATTTTGGGGAAGGGTTAATAGTTTAAATTGAGATATTTAAGGAAATAAAGTCACAGAGCATCTGAATTTCAGGATCTCTGGGCCACCTAACCTGACATAATGACTGTGTGGAGAAAGTCAAGAAAGACAGTGAAGAGAGTGGGCAAGCTAGTCACAGTTCGCCTAAGAAGTTAAGCAGCAGTATGCTCAGCCTGTAGATTCCACTCTCTACAGTGAAAAGCCAGATTGTTTTCAGAGGGCACTAAGTCTGAAAGCCTTGGGATTGAGTCTAGTGGACTATTCTGCCTCCCTTGCTGTCATTTCCAACACAGAACTCAGTGGTTTGTTTGCTTTCTACATCTGCTCATATGGTCAGGGATACACCAAGGCTTAGATGTTTGCCATGTCCTACTATTTCCAGCAACTAATAAATTGAATTTGTTACAAAATAACTCCTATTCAAAAATTATGTTACAAAATTAAAACTGATAATCTGTAAGTCTCAAAACAGCAACCTATTATAAATACATGTTTAAAATGTAAGATAAATCTAAATACTTATAATATCTCACTATCATTTAGAGGATTAAAAGTTTTTTTCCTCTTCTTAGAGAAAGTGAAGACTAACATGTAAAATTATAGCTTCTGTAGATGAATTTTTTTCATAATTACTCAGTTATTCATTAGAATATGTAAGATCTCTACTGAAGTCTTTGTACCCATGCTTCATAAATGGATTTAACTATAAAAGCTGTTATATAATCTCTTCCATAAACGTAATATATCTCTGATATTTATGTCCTTAAAATATTCTATAGTAAAATTAATATTTCTACACAGGAAAAGAAGGTACTACTTAGTCCCAGACAACTTGAAAACATTCTTTCAACTATTGTTATAATTATCATGTATAAAATTCCAAAGCAGAAATTGTCAAGATTTAACATTAGCATTAATTTATGCCATAACTGATGGTTACTGTAAAGATAATGGAAAAGCATCCATTTCTCCAAACACAGCATGGATGAAAAAGGAAGTTTCTACTTAATTACTACTAATCTGTCCATTTTAAATTAAATTGTTAGTAATTTTATTAGCCTTTCCTTTCTTAGAGGGCTATTATTATAGCATAGCTTATCTAAAGTTACAAGGTTTGTAATTTTTAAACAACCCAAGAACATCTAGTGTGAGACCCACCATTTTGTAATATTCGCTTATATTAAGAATTTAATGTTAAGTTTCTCTGCACCCTCAAAGTGGAGGATTTGCACTCAGTATTTCAAATTTTAAAGTGAACACTGTTGAGATCATAAATTCACCATTCTGGAGAGATGGCCAGGAAAAGCAGACTGTTCTTGCTAATCAAAATAGTTGTAATTAGCATGTATCTTCACTGTGATTTCCCTTGAAAAGTACCTATTTTTATGCTATCTATAACTAAACAAAAAAGTGTTTTTCCTGTCAGTTTAAGTAAAAATGAAAATGTTCTGATACATAAAAAGAACTATTTTATCAAGCAAACTTGAAAAGAACTTAAGTAATTCATATATTTTTCAATCAGAATTCTGAATAGATATTAAGCTTTGATTACTATCACACAAAATATAACAATATGTAATGATTTAAGGCTAAGAAATTTTCATGATACAGCTTTATGACAAAAACCTCTGAAAAGGCTAACTTTTCTTAAAAGCAAAAAAATAAGCCAGGCATGATGGTGCATGCTTATAATCTCAGCTCTTGGAAGGATAAAGCAGGAGACCACCTGAGATATACAGTGAGCTCAAGACCAGCCTGAACTACATGGCGAAACTCTGCCTCTAAAAACAACAACAACCAAAAAACCCCCAAAACAAAAACAAAAACAAAAAAGCAAGAAAATGAATTGCTCTGTCCTTTGGTAGAGGAAAGAACAGATATCTTTCTTCTTTTTCCTTGTGAACATATATCAAGAAATACTGGCTTAAATTCCCTCTCACCAGTACACCTTATATGGACTGACTATAGACAACTCAATAAAAATTCAAATTTAAGAAGAATACAAAATTGTATTCAAATAGCTGGCTAACGGTGAAAATGAAAATAACTACTCAACATAAAATCACCTCTGTTGATTAACATTTACTGAGTGTAGTACCTATTAAATATATAAGCCCTACACCTTGACACTACTTCAACCTTTATCCTAATATTCTTCTACATCAAGTTTGTTTTTGTTGTTGTTGTTTATTGTCTTTTTCTTCCCTCTAGAAAGTATCCACCATCAGAACAGACCGTCATCTGATTTGGTCAGGACCTTAACTTGTATTTAGCACTATAGGCCAAGCACACAGTAGCCATTCAAAAATATTTATTTAAGAAAAAAAAAAAAAAAGACAAAAAGAAAAAAAAAAATGACAGAATGAACAATATTATTTGACAACTCTGGATTTCAAATTACAGTATACCAAAGTCTTACTTTAAAATATTCTTTAATATAAAGGCATAATGCTTTTCCTACCCCCCAAAAAATCATAAACTATCTTTTCAAAGACTAGATGGGATATCAATAGTTGTAAATTCTTTACTGTTAAATAATTCAGTAAAAAAAAGTATACTAAGTTATACACTAAATTTTTTAAACTGTAATTGGTCATTCTGCATACCTTCACAAGTTTCAAAAGCTCATAGAGATCTTCAACCTCATCGCCTTCACATTTGGTGTATTCCTTTCCTGTATCCAAGCTCCTTCCTCTTATAGTCCTGCGGTAGAGGGGGAGAGCCATTGCTTCTGCATATAAGTCAATGGCTTGATGACCCACTGTCTGATACATGTAGCTATCCAGCTCATCAGTCCTTTCTGCAACATTAAAAGTAGAAATAATCAACAAAATAGTAAAAAAGAAAGAAAATTTTAAAGCCTATGTAGGTTTTATTGCTTAAAGAGCAGTCAAACTACCGTATTTATGTTATCTAAAGTTTACCATATCTCTCTGTACTTATATAGAATAATATATAAAAATTCCATATTTGCCCATAGCTACATTTAATTTGGTTCCCATGAGCTCTACTCTTCTCTTCTGTTAACCACAAATAAACTTTTAAAACTATACATAACATTTAAAAAGAGTAACACTATATATTAGTCAATCAAAATTTTTATTATATACCTTTCTTTCAAATCATTCAAGTTATTGGGCAGGGACAAGGGGAAAAATGAGAACCAAGACCTGTCATGCAAAGGTACGTACAAGATCCCAATAATGAATGTAACTATACTGTATACCTAAAATGTACCAATACACTCAATGAAGAAAAAAAAAGGAGAAGAAAGAAAGAAGAAAAGGAAAGAAAAGCTAGGAGACAGAAATAAAAGGGGCATTGAAAACACAAATCATTCAAGTTATTGAAGACATCTACACTTGAAAAAAAACTTTAAATACCTACTATTTATTAAGTTATAAATATTTGCAAGAAAAATTTAGATGTTCTTAGTGTATCTTACATTCAGCAGTTCAATAAGACAAGCATACATTCAATATTGTTAGGGCAGTTGCCAATGTGTATAGGACAACCAGTGATTGTATTATTAAGGAGTTTAGGTCATCATTATTAAGGAGTTTACATTAATACAATCACTGGTTGTCACAAGATTCTATAAATACTATTATGAGTAAGATATTCAAAACAGATTAGTCATTTCAGATCTTATAAAAATATAAATGAACTTGAAATATATAGAATAGAAGTGATCTTGTAACTTACTAAAAAAATCATGAACATGCACAAGATTATCTGCAAACATTATAGCATTATTTATAGTGGAGTAAAAATTATTATTTATTCATATAATAAAAATACTATGAAGCTAAAGTTACGTAAAAAACCTTTCAGTCTTCCATCTCCAAGTTAGGCCGGATTTACACATGTATTATTACTGAAGGTTATCAATACCAGGGAATCAATTTATTCAAAGAAATTTTAGCTTAGCAAGAAACATCCTGAGGTTAGTATAATGAAATCATTGCACTGGCTTCAAAAACTTTTCTCAAAAATTTTCTTTAAGGCTCCACTTAGTCCTATCGACAATGTAACTTTCATTGATGGAAGCTACATGGCAACAACTATTATGAGATTAAATAAAACCAAAAGGCTCCAACACTGCCTAAAGCACCTCAATTAACCAATTAACATGCCATAAATAAATGTCCTTACTACAAACTGAAAGAGATGGCTTTGTGAATGTTACGACAAATGCACATTATTTCCATTGACAGTAATAAATTATTTTCCAGACTACCTATTGAAAACCCGTTATAAATACACTTTAACCAACTTTGCTCCATGGAAAAAGAAATCATTCAATGAGCCATTCAATAATCCCAAATTCCTGTTGACTTTAAATCAGTAGTATCTAAATTCTCTCCATTTTTACCCACAGCAATGTATTATCTTCTACAATTACTGTTATTTCTGTTAATTCCATATCCTATGATTAACAATATCCTAAATAAATGTCTCCATTCCACCAATAAGCATAATTTAAAGATATACTTGATATTATGGATTGTATCTAGATGTCTCCCCAAAGCCTCTTGCACTCATAGGTGGGGCTTTTGGGAGGTGGCTGGGTTTATGGGTGTGCGTGTAATGCTGCATTAGGGTGCGTGATATTAGAATTAAGAACATGTGGTATTTAGCCAGGGATTTAGCTCAGTAGTGCGACTGGCTGCCTTGAAAGCCCAAGGTCACAAGCTCATCCCTAGTACTAAAAAAAAAAAAAAAGAATGTGTGATATTTAGCATAAATCTGGGTAGTATAATGGAACCCTCTCCTTAAGTATGGATGGCATTACCCAAAAGGCTTACAGCCTAGATAGAATTAAAGGGACAGAAAGAAGGCAGGCTCACTCCCTTCTGTCTGCTGTGCCACACTGGAAACAGTTTTTCCTCTGTGATGCCCCTCTGCCATGCCACCTTGCCTTGGAGCCAGTGTACTATGGACTGAAACATCTAAAAACTGTGAGCTAAATAAATCTTTCCTCCTTTAGTCTGTGGGTCTTAGATATTCTGTCTTAGCAATGGGAAAAGTAACCAAGACACTGTACATCACTACTTTGCCAGTAAATAAAGAGTACATGGAAATTACACATTGATGATTATATACAAGTTAAATATATTAATTCATATAGAAAAGCTGAAGATACAAATATCAGGGAGGAAAATTATAGCTATAGTATGTATGTATTATATATTATATACACATGTTTTTTAAATACTAAAAAGTTTCAAGATAGCTTTAAAAGACTCTCTTGGTTAGCTACAAGGGAAAAAGGCAGTTTCTGTCCTTTGGTAAAAATTATGCTTTGTCTTATAATATGCATATTCAATACATTCATTTCCTACCCACACTCAGAGTGTTCTCTTTCTTATTCAAAGTTAGAGCCATGTTTAAAAAAAAAAAAACACACAAGTCTTTAAAATTAGCTATTACTCATCATCCGAACCCAGCACAAAATCCTACAGTATGCATTTATCATTCTCAAGACAATCTATTCTATTTCTTCCTATAAATACTTCTCATCTCTATCTTTCCACATTACTTCCAGCATTAATTAGGTCTTAAGCTCAGAAAAAATAGAAAATCCAAATTCCTTACTGAAATATCTGCTCACTATCCCAAAGGTAATTCAAGTGAGCTCGTTAATTATTGGTCTATCAATAAACTTGGAGTGAATTCATATGAGAGATAAAGATATCCTAAGTGTTGAGGGGCACAGAGAGGAAGATACAATACATAATCTCTTATAATCAATTAGGGGATAAAGAACAAAAGTAAAAAATAGAAAACTACAAAATGATATAAAAGCAAAAATACAGGAGAGTGGCAGCAAGAGGAAGAAAGAGAGAAAGAGAAAAGGAAGGAAGGAAGGAAGAAAGGAAGGGAGGAAAAGAAAGAGGAAGGAAAGAAGGGAAAAACAAAGGTAAAAAGGGAGCAAGGGAGGGAAATACTCAGTTCTAGATTCTGATTCAGCTACACTTACAGGATACCTACTTCATGCCAAGAAGTATGATTACTCCTCTCACATACATTAGTTTCTAAACTGATCGTAAAATAAAAGTAGTGTAAAAGCACACAGTCTACAAAGAGGTAAAGGAGATGATAAAAAGTCTTAGTAGAAGAGCCATGTAAAAAAGTAGCAATGTATAAAGTTAGAAGAGTGTTAATCGTTTCTCCCTCTGAGTTTTGTTAATATTTGTATAACTAAAGAGTTTTAAAACCCAATTGGTGAATATATTTATTGTTTTGAAAGTTCTGATTGTGGAAGAAAAAAAGATTGACAATACCTCTTTCTACTAGATATGAAGGCAAAACAATGCTAAGTGCTATGTAGAATCTGGCATTTAACAAGGTTAAATATGGATTGGTTCTTTTTACTACCTTTTGTCTACTGCATAAGGCAGAACGGAATTACCAAGGTAACTTTCTGTCCTTTTGAGAATTTCCTAGTGAAGGCATATATTTACCTCGGTTTTCATCTGGTCTCAGATTCGCTAATGCAACGATCTTGTGCCCAGCAGCAATGCACTGCATCATATTATAACAGCTGTCCTTCCCACCACTGAAAATAAAACAATAGAGTGGGAGTCAGAGAGAGGCAGGGAGAAAGGAAAGTAGGGAGAATAGGGTTACTGATGATTATTTAACATAAAACCATTAGATATTAAAATAAAACACATTATTTAATCATACTCAGCTTTTCAGAATGAGACTTTAGCAAGCAGAATGCAATAACAATAATTAATTTCTAAATAATAAGCAAACTGAGCAAATGAATCTGAATGTCTCAGATTGCTACTTATAAGTGCTTATTATTAATATACAAAATATTTATAAGCACTTATTTATATGAAATATCTGTCAATAAAAATTATTTAAATCTCAGCAAAATATTTATTATACATACTCCTTAGATGAAAGTAAGTCTACAAAAAAAAGTCTGTTCCACAAAGTACTGGCTACTATCATCAACTAAAGGATCAAATTAAAAATTTGAGTCCATAAAGCTTGACATACTTGCCTTCAGATTTTATAGTCATGAGAAACAAAATGCTGAGTTACACCGATATATACAACACTCATTTCAGAACTTCTCAAGAAGAGAGCTAAAAGCCAAAAGCAGTGTTAAAAAAAAAAAATGCCCACACTCTTCAGATTCAGACTCCCTTAAATGACTCTTCCACAACTCCCCCATTCACCCTCACTACTTTATTTCCCCAAAATTAAAAAAAAACAACTATTTCTACCAAATACCAAAGATTGAAGAGTATGCAGCCAAAATCAGAATTTAGCCTTACAATTTACTGTAAAATGCACTACCATTAAAATACAGATTCTAAGTACTACTTCCCACATGTTCTGCAGAGGGAGGACTGATGTCTAACAAAATATTCACTGAATATTCTAAGAACAAAAATTTTCAAAGTTAAACAACCTTGGGAAATGCTAACTATATTACTCTCCTCATAGAACTCCAAAAGTACATAAACACAATCAGCCTTTATTCCACCTTCCATTTCTGTGGGTTCCACACTGTGGATTCTGACAAATGCCAAATAAAAAATACTTGAAACAAAAACTGCATCTGCAATGAATATGCAGAGATGTTTTTCATTATTCACTAAAATAGAGTATGACAGCTATTTACATAGCATTTACATTGTATTAGATATTACAAATAATCAAGAAATGATTTAAAGTATATAGTAGGATATCCTAGGTTCTGTGCACCATTTTATACAAAGGACTTTGTATCTGCAGATTTTAGTATCCACAGAGGTGCTGTAACCAACCTCCTACGGATACACAAGTACAAATATGTACAGTATATATTAGATGAGAAATCCTACAGATCACTTTCAGTTTCCAACTCTGGGACATTAAGCTAAGCTACTCAACACTTGGTGTACATATTTCATTCCAGAAAATGGCCCACTTTGATAATCTTCAAGTATCATTCAACTATAAAATTCAATGACTTTTTACAAAATAATAAAATAATTTTCTCTGACTTAAAGGCATTAAAAGTCTCAGTTTCATTTATTCCTAAAACACACACATCGCTCCTATCTCTCACTGTCAATACATGTACACAAACACAGAGATTCACTGTTTGGGTTCAAATGGAAACACGCATATATATATACATGTAAAACATATACAGATATGTGATACATAAAACAGGCATATATGTATCATGAGCTTATATGTGTACTCATACTTAAAGCATAGATCCTGACATACATAAAACTCTTAACGTTTACCAAGAATTTTCCAACATTGCTTTTTTCAGTAACTTGATTATAAAAGTAGCATAGACACATTACAGAATATTTGGTGTAACATATTATGTGGCTTTTGTCTACTCATTCCTGCCTTAGTGGGTATGTATTATGTTAATCTTTAAGATGTTTGGCAAATGGAATGTGGATGTGAATTACTCATTACTTGGACTACTTTCCTTATTTCTGAAAACCACAATGGTTAAAATTTAATCATTTCCTTTACAGAGTAAATTTACTAAATAATACTTATTTTGACTATTTTTATACTCTCCTAAAAATGAAAGTAAACAGGAACAGGAATACAGTATTCTAATAGCTACAGTAATTGGAATGCTGTATTCAGCCTATTATAGGTCAATACCAGTCATCTTGGGCAGCGATTTAGACATTTATGAAGTAACCTACTTCAAAAGTTGTACCTTAGGTACTTGTGACCCAAATCTTTTGAAAGGAAATATTGTCTAAACTCACTATTGTGTGTTCTTTCTTACCCCAGTTAGGAAATTGAATGTTGAAACTTCTAAACTGCCCTTTTTGGGGTATGTCGTAGAATTTATTTACACAACAAATGTGATAGGTTATTACATATTTCAACTCCTTTGAAATATGAAGTATGTTACCCGAAGGTCACAAAAGCAATTATGACCGTGCACCAGAAGCAACTGAAATAGCTCTAGCCTAAAACAGTACAGTTCCGTGTCCCCCACAAGGGAAGAGATCTCTTCTACTTGGGGTCCAAGGCACAAACACAGGGAGGGAGGCAGTGTGAAAGCCACGTCCATCCAGCAGGACCACATGTGAGATAGAAGATGAGGGAGAGGTGACTTAGTGTGAGGTTGCTTGCCACCAAAAACACTTGGGAGCTATAGAAGGAGAAAACCGTGGAGAAAAGGCAGGAGTTATTAACGAAGTCGAATCAGGGGAGGCTCTCCGGCTTCAAGTCCATTTGGAACTTTAAAAACCCGACGCCGGCAGGCCCAGAGCAATTAAACCTGCGCCTCTGGCGGCGGGGCCAGGCGCCAAGGCTTTCCAAGGTTCCCCCAAGCGAGCACTTGTGAGGG